ATCTCACACAGGGTTTCTATTACCCTGCCGTGTACCCAGAGTCCCCACGAGATGGATGTGGAGTCCTCTTAGGCTTGGGCGGAAACTGCTCAAGCCTCTTATACGGCTAACAGGCCAATCGTTAGCCGCCACGTATGAATAATTTAACACTAGCCAATCACGGGGAACGAATTTGCATACCGGTGGCAGGAACTCTTTTGCACCGTGCATTCCCCTTGCAACATGAGCAATGCACTCTGCAAAAGAAGCTGCAGAAAAGGTGGGAAACTCGTCCCTGCACCGGGGTTTTCCTCTGCAACAGGAAACTCTCCCGTGCAATGAAGCTGCAACTTGGCGGGGATAATTCTGGTGCCAAAGCACACACAAAATCATGCCTTTGGGTCCTGACAGTGGGAAGCTGCCCATTTTTAATGCCCTGATGCCAAAGGCAATATACACAGCCCTGACCTCTCCTTTACCATGTCCCATGCCACAGCAGATGGCATCACTATAAGCTCCAGCCCCACACTGGGCCCCACGATATTCCCGGCTGACATTCAGACCCCAACCCAGATCCCTCCTACTGAGGCAGCCTAACCTCCACCATCATTCAGGGCTGCAAACTCCCTACACCTGTTTCACTCTTAGCAGTAGCCCCCTATGGGACCTTTGGCCTCACAGGCCCTGTCCTCACCTCTAAGCCAGTTGGGACTCTAGGCAACTGGCTCTGGCTGTTCCTCGCAGTGGGTGCTTTTGCCTTTCAACCGTCCTGGTCCTGGCCCCAGCACAGGCCAGTCAAGGGTTTTCTGGCTAGGTTCTTGAGCAGCTAGCCCTCTCTCCCATATGGGTCCACCTTCTCAGGCCCCTCCACACATTGCCCTCACTCTGTGGGCCTTGGCTCTGTGCTGTTCTGTTGGGGTGTGCTTCCCTAGCCTTTCCCCTCCACGGGGTCACCCACAAGGCAATGGGGGCTGAGGCTTTCCAGCGCCCCATACTCGCCTTTCACTGAGGAGGCACAGGTGTGGTATTTCCTGGGGACTGCCCTGCTACAGGGAGCCCCACCATACCATCCAACCCCAGCAGGCTGTAGTTTCAGGTCATGCCCTAGGACCAGTTTTCATACCTTCCTGGTCTCTCACAAAGCCCCTGTGCATACAGCTCCTCTCTGGGCTTATCCTGAGCTCTCCTCTCAGCAGACCACAGGCACTCAGCCCCCTTCCCAAGGCGCTGGACCCCAAACTGGGTCCCCAGGAACCTCCTCCATCCCCATAATTCCTACCCTGACCTCTAGTTGTTTCGGGAGGCTGGGAGATGTTCACCCTTCAGCTCCCCAGTTGCAACTGCAGGCCTCCTGGCTGTCATGTGACCACCTGATTGGGTTGGCTCCTACCTGCAGGCTGCCTCTCAGCCTACTCAAGTCCTTAAAGTGGCAAGCACCCAAAGGTGCACTGCCACACTTGCCCTTCCTTTTCTCCTGATGCTGACTTTAGTTCCTAAAAGCAATGGAAGACCTGGATTTCCTCCCACTGAGTTCCATAGCTGTGCCAGCACAACAGCTCTGAAAGCTGCACCAACAAGCCCTGCAGGCTGCAACTCAACCCCTCCAGAGCTACAAGCAGGCTAACAGTTGGACAACCCTGGTCTACTAAATTCAACTTCTACTTAGCAGTGAAAGGACAGTCCTAGGACATTCTGTATTTCATTTATAATTAAAAAGCAAACAACAAAATGTACTTTTTGAAAACTGATCTATTATAAGCTAAAAGGTTGAATAAATGTATACAAAAATCATGCATTATGAAACAGTAAAAGCAAACCTCACAGCATTGATACTGTTGGGAAGCAGCCAATTATTCAGTTTCTTTGAAATTCACTGATCATTCTGAATGAAAGCAGCAATGCCTCCCCCCATAAAAGCCCAAGTAAATAGGATCTGGTTGGGAAAAGAAACAGGTGCTTTGGGAGAATGGGGAGGAGGAAACACAGAATCCACTGCTCACCAGGCAGAAAGTAGAATGCAACGCAGAGGTTGCCGACTACAGGGGCTGTATGACTATGGCTGCCCCAGACCCAGTCAGGCCCCACAGGATTCTCCTCATGTTGGCTTATTCTGGGCCAGTGAAAGATGACTTTTCTGCGATGCAGGGGCACAGCTGCATGGAAAGCATTATTGCCAGCCTCAAACATTCAGGAGTTTGGCTTAAAATCATCAGGATTTTAACAATAACCTTGGCTCCCTATTTGATTTCTGGTTCCTTTTTTCCTGCATTTAGGGCACACCATTTCAATCTTTCCTCTGAAATTTACTTTTAAAAATTAATTCTGAGATTCTGCTGTGATAATATGGTACTGGGGGTTGAGACTTAAAAAAATTTTTAAAAAAGGAACAAACCATCAAATACTGGGCAAGTTGACCAAAATGGGAAAGTCTTCAGCAGGTCCATACCACAAGATTAACATCATTAAGAAATGCACAAAGGACAAGTATTTTGCAAAATACTCTACTGCACACTGAGCTCACCTCTGACACATTAGTTTGAACACTTCCAGTTGGAGATGGTGTCGCAACAGTATCCAAGGCTTGGGGAGGCACATCTTCAGTTTTGGCATCAATCTGTAGAATGTGTGATTAGTAATAGACAAATGAACATTCATGAACCCACTGTCATGCTTTTTTCCCCTCTGGATCTTAAAAAAATGACTAATAGGCTATAAACAGACGTTTCATTTGACCTAGGACTGATTATATTGGGGTCTGACCCAGACCAAATAGGAGTGACATAGTCATTTTTGTATCTCGTTCTTCAAAGCTGCACTGTTGCTCCTTCACCACTAGGTGGCCAGACAACATACGCAGCCTGACAGTCTTGTCTCCGGAATAAGCCGCAATAACCTTACATAGGTACAACAGGGTGTCCCAGGAAAAACTGTTAGTACGTTTTACCTTAAAGAGCATGAAGTACATCCAGATTTGCAACAATGTGTTGCACAAATCATCCACTTCATCCTCACCCACAACTTCACTTTCAACAGTCGTCATTTCCTCCAAACCATGGACATAGCTCTGGACACAAAGACAGCCCCTCAATATGCCAACTTTTTCATGAGCCACCTGGAGAAAACATTTCTAGAAAAATGCGCCTTCAACCTGGCAGTGTATCTGTGCTACACAGATGATATTTTCATTACCTGGACTCACTGACTTCCACCACTGGTTTAACAACTACTACCACTTGATCAAACTTTCTCTGGAATACACCCTACATTAACATTACCTTTTTAGATACCATAAAATCCATATTCAGGATGGGACCCTACAAAACTACTATACGTAGAAAACAGACCACCATACTTATATCCACAAGACCAGCAATCATCCCAAACACACCAAAAAAGCCCTGTAATTTACAGTCAGGCCCTCAAACACCACCACAGCTGCTTCAAAGAGAACACCTGGCCAACCTAAAATCTGCCTTTATACAACAAAAACACTTCAAAAGAGAAGTAGACCATGCATTTTAAAGAGCTATCCAAATGCGCACAGTAACTTACTAGAGTAGAAAAAGAAACCTACTACAATACAAAAAGAAATGCCCCTGTAAACCACACAGCCCTGATGGTCGCCTACCATCCCACATGAACTGATCAGAAGGGTCATTAAACAACTACAGTTTATACTCTACAAAGATAAAATCCAGCCCCTCCATTCCTGGCTTTCAAACAAACCCCTAACCTTGCAAACTCTCCACTACCACTACTATCAACATGCCCCCATGACAAAACCATGAGAATCCATGGTTCCTACACATGCCTTTCCCAAAATACAATACACCTGGTCCAATGCATGAGCTGCCCTCCTCGTAACTACGTGGTTAAACTAAACTGTAACTATGCATCAGAATGAACTCTTACAGAAAAAAAAATGTAAAAGGACAGAGACACGCATACAACATTAGGAGCACAGTTCTCACAGAACAGCCACTCTCTCTCTGACCTTGTTATCTTTGTTCTCAAGAGAAATCTACCTGACACCTTTAAAAGGAAAGCTTGGGAACAAAAATTCATAAACTGGCGGGACACCAAGAATCAAGGACTAAACATTGATATCAGTTTTATGGCACATGATAATTTCCCTGACTCCTGAATTCTTTCCAAACACAAGAGGTGAGAATGTCCTTTTTGATACCCGTTGATCTCCCAGTTATCAGCTTCTTTTCTTCTGCTAATTATCTTTGTTACTCCTGGGGATTTCTCTCATCCCCTCCTACAACTGTTCCTTACTGTGCTGTTTGGTTTGGTCTGGTTCTCTCTGATTGGGAGAGGTCCTGGATGACTGGAAAAGGGCAAATGTAGTGCCCATCTTTAAGAAGGGGAAGGATGATCTGGGGAACTACAGACCAGTCAGCCTCACCTCAGTCCCTAGAAACATCGTGAAACAGGTCCTCAGCGAATCCATTTCTAAGCACTGGGAGGAGAAGAAGGTGATTAGGAGCAGTCAGCATGGATTCACCAAGGGCAAGTCATGCCTGACCAACATGACTGCCTTCTATGATGAGATGACTGGTGCTATGGATGTAGGGAGAGCAGCGGACATGATATACCTTGACTTTAAAAGCAAGGTTTTTGATACAGACTCCCATAACATTCTTGCAAACAAGCTAAGGAAGCATAGGTTAGATGAATGCACTGTAAGGTGGATAGAAAACTGCCTGGACTGTCGTGATCCACCCCTGTCAGAGCCCTAACACCTAGGACACGGGACATGAAGGTTTAAGTCCCTGCTCCAATTAATATTTATTGGTATACCAAGTGGAAGAGTTCCAACTTCTCTGAAGCAGAACATGAAGAGTCTTGAAATCTTGGGATAACTTTCACAGAACAAGAAAAAAATCTATTGCCCAGATTTTCTTGTCTTATGACAACCCAAAGCCAGGAATTTCCAAATAATCTTGCTTGTATTTCCTTGTAAAAGCTTGTAAGTCATTCAAAACCTCCCACTGCCTTTCTGCACAGGTGAGTAGGTAATCCTTTAAGGTAATGCGAAAAGACTGGAAATCAGAGGCAATCTATTATTCTGACCTCTTTGAAAGTACAGGAGAAACTGGGCATTAGAGCAGTCTGCAGAAGTAATTAAGCATTTAACCAGGTCTGCTGGGCACTGCCAAGTACCTTAGTTAGTTAGAATAATCTATGTGCTGAAAATGCCGCAGTATTTGAATCAGGTTCCTGGTTTATCTTAAAGTAAAATCTTGGTATCACCATAATATACTAATTCTCAGATGAATTATTATGGACTTCATAATGATAGGCAAGATCCTTGGCTGATTTAAATTAGCATTAATATAATGGATTTTGACAGAGCTAAGCTTACTCACAACAGCTGAGAAACTGGCCCACTATTTTCAGGTTTTCTGTGCCAACTCTAAAGAAAACTGGGTTACACAGCTGTATTATTGAAGAGGCATGTATTCATATGGCATATTCAGGCTTCCTTCAAAGGCTATCAAAGCACTCTGAGATAACTATCATACTTTGCCTCTAATAGAACTGAATCCTATTTTAATCGCTTCATCTTAATTAAATCTCATATTTTTAGAGCCTAAAACAAACTCTGGATGAGAGGACAGAGGAAGAATATAATGAGACCAAGCATGGATGGCACATAGCTTTTAGCTAAGCCATAAAAATTTCCAATTTATTTCCTTAACACTTAAATAAAATAATAGAGCATATTTGTTAACACAATTCAATAGTTATGGCATTTCTTTAAATATCCAGGGAAGTATATTCAATATCATTACCTGAATATCCATATCATGAGCACTAATACATTCAGAGCTTTGAGAGAAAACACATTCTGCTCGTTGACTTGTTTGGCTGCTTTTATCTTTATCTAAATAATAAAAAGAATGAATGAATCAAACGGAGGTATGAACTGGAGATATATCACAGCAGTGCCTAAAGTATAAATTGAAGTAGAACACCTTTATTAAGACGTTTCTTATGACCATGGCTAAACATTCATCATATCTGATTATTTACTGTGAAGATACCTTTGTAGAAGTGACTTTAAAAGAGGATTTGAATGAAGGATAATCTGGATGGAATTCTTAACATGTTCAGATTTAAAACATTTTGACTCCATCTGAAGGGGTCATGTGGTAAGAATACTGACGGGATATTATACGACCCTCTTGGTAGACAGCATCAGTCTCTGTTTCTCATATGCTCCGTGACATTAGGTAAGTCACTTTACCTACCCCTGTCAGTTTCTCCACCTTTAATATGGGAATAATACTTTTGTACTTCATGGGGCTGGTGTGAAGCATACTTCAGTGAGGGCTGTGAGACTAGATGGTAAGTACTAAAGAAAAATACATTATTATGATTATTATCTATAAAATGAAAATACTTAATTTCCTGTTTCACAGGTAGTCTTGAGACATTTTATTAAAGTTTGCACTTCAGGATCCTCTGAGTAAAATATAATTTATATAATACCTAGAATGGGGAGAGGATGGACAGTGACTGAAAAACTGACTGACAAATATGATGTAGTCCTGAAAATTCTAAATGAGGATACTAGTCATAAAATCCTTAAAAAATGGGCAAGAAGGTACTTCAAGAGATAAATCTAGTCCTAACCCTGTCCTAGGCCTGGACACCTGCCTCTTATGGTCAGAATGATCCATTCTTTCTTGCAATTCAAGGGTGAGTAGTTTTTCCTATAAACTGGCTACTCCCTTTGCTACAGTTTATGTTACATGCACTACTAAACAGAACAAATAGAAGAACTAAAAATAACAAAAAGAAGAGACTTTCCTTTGTCTCGTTTCCATGCATTCCTACAACTTTTATTACGGTTAAGTTTGGACATTAAAGGGCAGATTGTATGGGAGCTCCTAGGTGCTAATTAATTTGCATTTCTGGCTGTCTTAATTTGACTGGCATTATAAAAGAAGCCTCCCCTACCTTGCCACCTACCTATCTTCTTCAATAAAACTGGTGTCTATTGAGAGATTGAAGTTGGTACCTGCCTTGCAGGGGGAGGGGGGCGGTTCACATGAGTCATGTCCCAGGATCCTTCAAACAACTGCTGCAGTTCCTTTGAAGAGCTGCAGGATCTGCATGTGGATTTGGGACACATCTTACCCCCAAAGGATCTTCCAGCTGGGCAGTGGGTTTCAGCATCCTAGTCTGAGCCATGGCCAGGGCTACCTCTGATTTTCAGTACAATCCAGGGAACTTCTCCATTGAATACTGAGGTAACTAGCCATGTCAGCTACTTATAAAGGATCTTTGCTGTGTTTTAAACTAAAAAGATTGATACTCACTGGCGCTAATGAACATCCATTATGACAGAGGACACAGATACATTTTTTAAAAAGGTTTTAAACATTAACATGTAAAACAGGGAAGAAAGGGCTCCACAGATAAGATAGGAAAGTACAGCACACAATCAAATTAGCTGAAATCAAATTTCAGCTCTGCACAGCATTGGTTATGCTCAATGATATTAGTGATGGGATTCTGCATTAATCAATTGCTTCCTTTCCTTTTTCATGTCCTTGTGACAAGGTATTTAGCAGACTTCACAGATTTGCTGGAATCTGACAGGGTACTGTAGCCTTGACCTTGCAACCTCCAGGCTGTCAACCATGTGCCTTAGCGCCTGCACCACCACAACCCCCCACTCAATTGCTGAAAGGTTATCAATACTCTGGAACCAAAACTTACAACCAAAGCAATAACTATATTCCCTTAAAGTCTATAGAGAGGGTATTCAGAACACAGTTATTTTATGAGGCAATGTAAAGTGAGTTATTCTTCAGATAATATGAAATCCTGCTACAATGATCAAAATTATATTTAATATTAATTAGAGAAACAAAATGATCACAAACATTCACTTACTAGAACTCATGTAGGAGAGCAACATTTAAATGCTGACAGCCTCAATTAATCAAAACCTCCAAAAATCTCAACAATAAAGAAGTAGGATGACTTTATGTAAATGACTTAATAAATTTTCACTATTTATCCTAACTCCTTAAAATATCACCTTTCAAATTCTACAGACCCATTTGTAGATTTTTTTATATTAAAATGAAGTCTAAGGAAAGAAAATTTAATTAACAAAACTCTTTGCACTAAGGAAAAAGTATCGTTTCTAGAGAAAATATTCCAAAACAATGAATTATGGATGTGATGATGTTTGTGTTGGGGAGAATGAGAGCAAACCTGAGGAATGAGAACCTCAAAAAACAAAAACAAAACCAACAAAATATGACTGTTATGCTTTGTCTCAGGAAACGTAGCTAAATACGTTTACAGTCTCTTATGTCAATAGACCTGGGACAGTTGTGGGCTGTCTCACTTAAAAATGTATTCCATGGATTAAAATAAATTAGCCAAGAATATTTCTACAAATCTATAATCACTGTCAGAAGAAAAAAATGCTGATGCAATGTGCAGGTTGAACAAAAACGTGCAGACTATAATATGTGGTTTCTCCAGGGGTATCACAGATGGGCGACTTCATAGAAATGATCAAATGTTGTCCTGATTAATCCAACAACGTCTCTCATTATAAACAGGCTTGCAGGTGTCAGAAGTTAATTAATACAAGCCTCCAGTTTCCATATAAATATTGATATGTTGTTTCTGACTTCATAGTAAAACTGAACACTAATGGCTCTCCATCCACCACAATCAAACATGGTTGCATCACTGCTATGTGTACACATACCATAGACATGTGGTCTGAAGAATATAAACTATAGTTATTATAGGTGATGTAAGAAACTTTGACCAAAAGAAAATTAGAAGAATTCTGTGCTGCCCAGGTTAATGGCAGATATAAAAATGTCTGCAGGATCCAAAAGCTGGTTCACCATGAAGCCTGACAAAAACCTCTTGAATTATTCCAACTGTATCAGAACATTTTCTAGCTACTAATTCCTGACTCCATATAGAGTAATAACAAAATTACATCTGAGTGGTATATCAACGTTACATTAAATACAGATTTTGAATACTCTTTCATTATTGTTATTCAGTATTACATTTTGAAAGGAAAAACAATAACAACCTGTGGTCTCCACTTACAAGAGCTAAAGCATTCTAAACAGCTTGAAAATTCTCGTTATTATGGTTATTCATACAGGCACAGAGAATTCCTTCTACAATAGAACATGGCTTATATTTTAAATTCTCAGCTTTTGAATTCATAAAGCTATAATAATGGACCACATTTCTGTTGGTGTAAATTACTTAATGTAGCTACACTGATTTCACATCAGGAAACGATTTTGCCCCAAATTTTCAATACAGTGCACAAAGGCTTCATCCACAACAAGGTACTGTTCCTATAACATACACTCATCCACTTAACTATAAGCATATGAGTAGTTCTATTGGGTTTAAGCATACAGGCAAGCCCATATCATTAAAAGTTTTATCTATAGAATACCAAAATGCAACTGGTATACACAGATGCTTTGTTTATCATAAACATGCTATGACAGGGTGATCTTTAAAGAACATTTTTGAAAACGTAATCATATAGGAAGAAGGGAAACATTTGGCTTATGACATTTTTCCTGCATTATTCTTTTTAAGAAACCAAAACTTGGAAGATCGTCTATATAAAAAAGCACATTTTCTCACTTTAAAAAAAAAGGAAAAGAAAGGTTCTTTTCATTTTTTCTTACAATCCTTATAAGTAAGTGGGGAAAGAGCAGCTTTATGGTGTCATGTGTTCCACTGATGTGAAACTAGATTAATTGAGAAATATTTTTATTCAAACTCTTTAGAAATGTAGCATTTTGTTCACAGTCATTTCATTCAAATAGCTGCCAAAAAAACAAAAGGAAGAAAAACTTGTATTAAATATTCAGCTCCAGTGCAAGTTTTGGAAAATGCACCACATAAAAGTACACGTTCAATAAAAAGAATATGCAAAATGATAACAAATGGAGGGCACACACAGTTTTGTACCAGGTGATTAAGTAATGTTAATTCATTATGATAAATTAATTCATGAGGATGCTCATACATCAACTAATTTGGTACTAGATGATACATTAAAAAAAAATGTAAACCAGTTTTTTAAATTCTTTTTGAGGCAAGGACTTACTGGTGATAGACCAACTGCATAGCTAACTTTTAAGCATACACTACCTTTTTAAAAATTTCTGATTCAAGGACAAACCACAATCCTGTTCAAGTTGGCCACTTTGGCTGTATATAAGTGTATAAACCAGGGATGTCAAACACACCCCAGGGCCTGGGAGTGTTCTGAACTGTGGGGCTTTTTATAGGCTGTATCCAGAGCTGGCAGCAGGGCAAATGGCACTGACAGCACAAGCTGTGGCACAAGCAGCATTGTGTCAGCATAGTCATTCTTCACACCCTGCCACCAAAGGCCAACAGCCTGAATTCTGCAGCAGGCCCCTACCCCAAATTCCTGGATCCTCTGGGCGTCCTGTTGGTCAGAGAAAACAGCTCTGCAGGCTGGATCTGGCCGGAGGGCTGTGTGTTTGACACCTCTGGTATAAACAAGCTCTTGACACAGTTCAGCTGTGAGTCTCCAAATTTCAATCAAATACCAAGTTCAAGTCAAGGCCTCTATCTTTATCTTTGAGGTACCCAGTGATCTGCATGTAAGATCATCAGTAGGTTTGGAATGAGGACAGTGGTCATCACTTCTACTTGCTCCTCAGGCATGATGGAGCTGTCTACCACTATGGCAGCCCTTGTTTGTGTGGGAACAGACCTTTCTCAGAAATTTGTAAGGATTGGGGCTAACTTCCATGGGTCTCAGAACTCTTTGACTCATCATCACTTTCCATTCCAAGCATAAGGGCCACTCCTTTTTGACACAGTTTTCAGGAATTCAAGATAACAGGTAGCACAAAAAGCAAAAACAAACATTAACACTTACATAATTTTCCCCAGGAAGAGAAAAAGAGAAAGAGAGAAATATGTGAGAAATGCAAGTTATGTTGTGTAATGTCCTTCTGGAAGGTGCTCAGCTGCTATAATGATGAAGACTGTACAAAAACCTGAATAGAATAGCTGTCTCATGGTAAGATCTGATGTTATGTTACATTCCAAATAATTCTCTCATACAGTCTTCAGCTAACAAGAGACCTTACCATAATGCCATTGTCAATATCCATGAACATCTTAATTCAAATGCTCTGGCAGCACAGAGTTTGTCATAAACTATGAATCTTGATGATGCAGTGCTTGGTCATGGAAAAATCATGCAAAGGTGCAGCAAACTCCTTCACCACCCTGAGGACATGTGGGAGTAGGGGATTATGCAGACAACTGGAGAGTTGGGAGGGTTGGGGAGGAGGAAAGAGTCTTGCCTGTGCCTGCTCTCTGCATTCAAGCTGCAGCTGCTACTGCTGGGGCTGCTGCTGCAGCACTATGGGCTTGGGCTCCTGGAAAACAGGCTTGCTGCATGCCAGCTACAGCAGCCCAACAGCGCAGGTTCCCCAGGAGCTGCTTCTGATGCTCTATTCATTCTCCTTCCATGCCCAAATACACTATGAGGAGCAGGGCTGCATCTGCTGCAGTAAAGACACACCAGAAGGACACCATTCTGCTCTCTCCCCGGGACCCCAAATCCATTACTGGGTATAGGGCTGTACCTGCCTGGCTCCACTGCCCA